CATATTTTCTCTCCTTTCTCCATTTTTTTAAATTAAATTTTTTCAGTTGTGACTTTTGTAACATGCATGTTATTATTTATCAACCCGTTACACGACTCGAAACCCGCACGATAAAAAATGACCCGAACCCGACACGACACGTTTATTAAATGGGTTGAGTTCGGATTGAGTATTCTTGACACATTTAATATTCCGACACGACACGAACCCGACAAGACCCGACCCATTGCCAGCCCTATTTTTGACTATAATACCTAGATCTGAAAGTTAGGTTTGAAACTTTCTCAATGGTTAAATGTTAAAACTTGGGTAATTAAATTATGACATGAAAAATGGCATGAATTGTCATGCTGGTTGTCACGTCAATTGGTATCGTTAAGTTGAGGCCCGTAGCATTATTATTTTTTCAATCTCCTGAGCCAACTCCATGCAATCTGGTGGACTGGCAAATCATTGCCTTTATAACCAAGTATGCAATCTTTCTATTGATCTTCTTCTATGCTTAAAAAAAAAATCTTTAAAAAATGCCTAGCTAGTAGCAATTAGGTGGTGAATGAGATTAGCTATGGTCATGTACACATGGAGCTGGTGTGTGGAAACAAGCAAGTTCACACATTGAAGTCCACTCAAGCCAACCCAGAGAAAGTCAAGACAGACTCTAGTTTAAAAACGTGTTAGGCGTTTTATTAATTTGATTAGCTTTAGCATCACTTTCTTGGATCGTTAATTTCTTATTTTAAACGAATATAGAATGCTTATTAGCCCAACCCAAGAATCAAAGAAATAAAGTATTGGATTCTTATACTTTGGATGGTACCATGCCAACCTCTTTTTCTTTTTTTTCTTTATTAGATTTTGCAAAATTTTCTAGAGAGACTTTGGAAAAACACAAAGGAGAGAGAAATTTTGTAAAAGAAGCTAAAATAGACAAAATTGCCCTTATTTATTTTTGGATTTCCTAAGGAATTCTTTGATTTGAAAGTTGAGAGATTTTTCTGTCTTTTAAAAAAAAATTTTGATTTTTTCCAAAAATGAAATTTTTTTTTTTCACTAAAACCTAAATTTACTAACTTTCTATTGTCTCGCTTTTAGCATGATCACTTTCTTGGTATGAATTTTGGGTTGGTTAGTGATGTCACATTGGTTCACTTTAGGAGGAATGGAGACATAAACTAAATAAAATAATCACAGATATAATGTTTTTAGTCAATTATGTCAAATCACATAAATGTTTATGAGATTAGGAACTAAATGAGGAGCCAATTCAAGAGAATAAGTGAATGGAGGACCTACGCCAGAATGTGGCAATATTGAAAGGGTAGAATTTAAAGAATAAAACAAAATTGCATCACTTTCATTATGACGATGAGTGATGTGATACCAATAAATTTATTAATATCTTTGCCCAGATGCGATGCTCCATCCATATATATCCGTAAATAAATAAATAAAATAAAAATAAAAGCATTTGCACGATAAGCAATATGCCACGTAGATTAATTTGTGGGTATGAAGATTAAGAGATAGTAAAAACACGTAGTTTCTCATGTCAACTTTCCAAAATGGCAGGCGTCCAACCTCAGAAGCAGCCGCCATTACTTATCAACCAATTTATCCATGTTGGAAATTCAATGTCTGCGGACGAGGACCCATGGCATCGCACAAAAATTTCAAAGTATACTCAATAGGGTTGAAATCCTTATCACTTATGTGAGATTCCATTGGAGAAAGATAGATGTATCATTTACTGATGGAGTCCTTTATAGACTTCTAATAGTCTTTGAAAACAGATGAGACGCTATGATAATTGGTTAGGGCAGAGTTTGAAAATTCTTCTTTCAGTATATTAGAATGAAGCACGCCATTTTAGAAGTTTAGACTTTCTTACAGAAGAAACATCACTTTGCTAGTGGAGTATAACTCAGTTTGTTGAGCTTTTCTCCCTAAAAGTAATCTTATCGCATTTGGTGTGTAATACAACTATACTATATTCCTAAGGACGAGATTTACATTAACGTATAAAAAAATATAAAAAACAATAAAGGATAAGATTTACGTAGCAAGTTGAAGATAACACCAAGTGGAAACCATGCACACACCCATCATATATTAGTCATTAGCAGCAAATTAATACATATCGTAATCATGTGGAAATTATGTCAATAATTTTTATTTGCTCGTGACGTCCCCTTTCATGGACAAACGCTAATATTATCTCTAAACTATTCCACCTAAATTCTTTCAACTTGGCGTGTATATCTGCTTGTCACCGGTAGGAACACAACAGTAGAGTAAGTAGCTTTCTCTTTCTGTCATCCAATGCATTTAATAAACTAGGTTTTCATAAACAAATCCATTTATTCACTTTCAAAACTTAAAAGCGGACTGAACCATTTAACTTATCTCTAATTTGGATTAATTACCGGCCTAAGCCGGATAGTTTAAATTTGTGAATGACAGATTGAAACGACAACTTGAAGTAATTTTTTTTTTTTTTATGCAAACGATATTTTACTTTTAATTTTATTAAATTACGAAGAGAGGGGGTTCAAACTTGAGTACAAAGTGAAGAGCATATCTGCTGTAACCAACTTGTGTCTGTGAAGCCTTTATGTTTTTTTTATTTTTGGGTAATTGTAATTAGCAGCCATGAACAAGCAGACGTACGTAGGAGATAAAATAGTTTTACTATGCACAAAAATGGTCTTGTTCAGACCGATCGAAAGTGAAAATAAAGATGGTCTTAGTTTGCTCTAACCGCGTTGACTAATATATTAACCTGTTGCACGCCAACAAATTTGTAATTTTTTAGCTTGGCTGACTGTCACAAACAATAAACGACCACTTCTCTAATTCGTGCATGGATCCCTGAGAAAAGTACACACATCTTTCTTAGCGCAACCCATCAATGTATTTTAACTGTATTTTACGTTAATTCTTCAAGGGCTTTCTTTGTTGAAAAAAAAATAAAGAACGAACATTAGAAGTTCAATAGGAGTCTCACGTCTCATGTGATTAGTAAGTTTGGAGTTTAATACCAAATAAGTTTTTAGATCTTAAAATCAATATTTAAAAACTAATGTTTTTTTCTTTAAAAAAAATAAATTAAAAATTCTTTTTTTAAGCAGGATACCAAACAAAAGTTCAACCGGAATCCCGCGTCTGGTGTGACTAGTAAGATTTACAGTACCCATTTTATGAAAAGAAAAAAAGGAGTTTTTGTTGACATAGCAGCTTCACAGAAAGTCAGAAAGGCATCGATCAACGCCGTCCACTTGCACGCGTCATTATAGTTAGAGCATATGCCAAAACAGTGTTAATTAATTGAGTTTGACTGTTTAATTTAGAGTCAAGTCAAGTAAAGACAACCAAAAATAGACACATCGGCTAGCCCCGATTATCGCTTATGTCATCAAGCTTCTGATAACGGTCTAATTAATCTTTAAACAATGTATATGGCCTCATCCTACTTCCTCGTCAAATATATTTATTATTAAT